TGTGTAATATTTGTAACTAGTTTTATTTGTAATATTTATAACTAGTTGTATGTGTAATATTGAGTCTCGAGGGATCATTTATATGAGACCTGATTTTAAACCAAAAAAAAAAAAAAAACAGAAAAGAGATGCACACACCAATAAACATTCATACGACAGCATATAAAATGAAAAGTATATAAAAGACGTGATATAAAACAAAATAAAAACATGTTACATTATAAAAGGGTGTAAGATATTAAAAACAGGAACATGTCTGATGCTTTTTACATTGAATTTAACAGATGTTTTATGTAAAAATCAGCAGACTGGAGTTAAATTTTCATATATTTATTATTTTTTTAAATAGTCTGTATTTTATAGCTAAAGCATAAAACAAAACAAATTTTAGCACCGACTCTAAATTGGGAAGTGGGTGAGTGTGTGGAGATATCAGGAGCTGTGTGTTCATCACGAGCACAACGTGAAATGTTAAAGAAATGAAACGTCTGAACGATCTGTGGCGTTCACCTCAGCTCGCTCACCTCTCGTCCTTTCAACAGGTGCGTCAGCAAACCAAAACCTGATCAATTATTTTGTTCTGGGCTCTAATAGCCGTCCATGATATCAGGAGGCACATGAGAGGGATTGCATGTAATGGCAGGAAGTCATTAAGTTTAGTCGTGTCGTAGCAACAGCAGGTAATTGCAGATGAGGTGGGCACGATTTAGTCTGATTATCTTTAGTTTGTTCTTTGTCACCTGTGGTCTTCGGCTGCTTGCTTAACGGTTTTTTTTTCTTCTTCTTCATCTACCGCCCCCACTGTGAGATGATATGATAATGTGAAGAAAACAAGATGAAGAGAGGAAGAGGAGCAGAAATGAGGAAGTGTAGGAGAGCTGGCACACATGGAGAAAGAGTGAGAGGAGAAACCAGAAAGGAGGAGAGTTCATGTGACGTCACCGATGCAAACCGCTGCGGTGAGAAACGACGCGCCTCCTGAACAGAACTTTGCAGGTTGTGTTTCAGGACGTAATTTCAGCCTCAAACGTGCTGCTTGCATTTTAACCCGCAGCATTTTGTTGTTTCACTTTGAATCAACAGCACTTTTTCAATCAGAGGCTCTTTGTGTGGTCGGGGACACGGACGGTTCCTCTACGATCGCCATGGCGACGACGATGGAGCAATTACTCTGTCAAGTAGGCGCTGATGCTGTTGGGCTTAAACATCTTAGACTAGACGTGTGAATGTCCTGTTCATGGGGGGGGGGGGGGGGGGCACTTTACTGTAAACATAACGAGAGGTAGGAAAACTGAAGGGATGAACAGAAACCAAACCTGTTCATTTCAATACAAATTATTTATTTGGTTCTGGGACCATTTCTAGAAGAAAAGAGGAAACTTTATTACCGGTTACGTTACATTAACTTTTTAAATATGTGATTGTTTCTAAAATAACTTATGATTTGTGAATAAATTATGAATGCCACACAAACTTGCTAGAAATAAAATTCCTTGAAGGAAGATGCATCACCTGCCGTCTTGGATGCCATCGATGAGTTCAGTTCTAAAGTTTACTTCGGCAGATTAAATTGTAAAGTGGATTAAATCATAAAGTGGATTAAAATAAAAATGTGGAGGTGGATATGAAGTGAGCCGAGACGGGAAATGAAATGATGAACAGGGACTAGAAAAGAGTTTTACAATCAGGGCAAACAAAAATACAGCAACATTTTTATAAACTCGCTGCTCAGAATGTGACAGACAGACAGACTGACCCACAGACAGACAGACAGACAGACAAACAGACAGACAGACTGACACAGACAGACAGACATACACGCAGACTGGCCTACAGACAGACAGACAGACAAACAGACTGGCCCACAGACAGACAGACACACAGACTGATCCACAGACA